AGAGTTTATTTACAGGGTAAAGTTTAATGGTAAATATGAGAAACAATGTTTAATAATATCAAGAAATAAAGTTCTGCACTTTTTTGAAAATCCAAATTAACACAGATTTCAGGCTCAGTCAAAGAACAGAGCAAACATGCAAAATTCACTGGGCTGACTTGAGCATAAGAAATATTTTTGCAAAATTAATTAAACATGAACTGAATTAGTCTTGATGTCATTCTGCATCAAATTGGAAATGTAATCAAGAAAATATGCCTACAAAGTTTTACCAAAAGTTATAAATGATCGTTAATTTCATTTTTTGTAAATATGCATTGTATACATCACCACTTATAGAACCTACTGTAAATATAAGAAATAAAAATTGTGTGCAGACAGAAAATTAGACAGGATTTCACAATGCCCTTTATTTTGATTTGATTAGCTCTTTGCTGTCCAGAGAGTGTCAGTATTTGGTTTGTCTCTTGAGGATAGCAAACAGTTGATCATTGATAAAAGATGTGTTTATCCTATTTGTCAGTACAGAAGTAAATAAGAAAGCAGTTCAATGTCAGTCCATGTTCAAAGTCCAATACAGTTCAAATATCCAGAACAAGGAGCCCTCGTTTAAGAGTTTAAAATAAAAATAATTGATTTCTGTTTAAATAATAATTCCTGTTTAGTCATTTGAGAGCTTAGATGGAATGAGTTTATGAAGGTCTGCTTTCCTCTGAAAACCTTTTTTTTAACTTATCATCCCTTGTATTTCACAAAGATTTTCCTTATGAGCCTGAACCTTGGCAATTTATGATCAGAGAGTGTTGGCTGTTGTTCTACTGGTGCCTGAACACTACACTTGACCTCATCTTTTTCCCTAAATCTTATGGTAACAGCAACAGCATTGACACACAACAACCTGTGTGATTTCTCCAGCTGGCCTTGCCAGCAAATCTGCCTGATCTGAACGGATATTTATATGTCACACCACTGAAAGACGCAGCCAGCCCTTTCATAGTATATAGTTTGTGACTGACCTCAAGCCTCCACTTCTGACTTTACACATCAAAGAACAGTCAGCTGCAAAAAAAGCTAATATTACTCAGGCAGACTAGGCATCATCTAAGGTTACTCTATCTGTATATTTTAAAATGATGACAGACCCCTGGTATGAGCCAAGACTGAAATGGGACACTCACCAGTGTGGCAGCTTTATGGTATATTGTTGCTCAAGACTCTTATTTTCAAATCCTTCATAATTCTGAAAGAATCCCGTGACAACAACATACGAATGGCTCACCATCTTAGACAAGGGTTTGGGACTTAACAGACATTGGATTCGGGTTGTGTAAAAAAACAGTCTAAAATAACTGCACAAAAGCAAGGAAACCACACTGGTATTAATGCATCACCTGCACCTGTGTTAATTCGGCCATTTAAAGACAGAAGGCCAGTGTTCTGCCAGTGCCAATAAAGTTGCATCAGACATATTTTTAGTTGGGCATATCCTTCAGAAAAGACAGGGATTTACAAAGCTAATTCGTATCTGCAATTGCAATCTGAAAGTCAGTTGTCTGTTTCTGAAGTCATTGTGTTAAGTGTTTATGAAATTGGGTGGTAATTAACTTTGAATCTTTTCATCTTTGTATCTTTGAAAAAGGGGTGACAAAATCACAGAGTTACTGTGATTTTGACATATTTAAATGTTTAAAGAACATATATGGACAGCGGCTGATAAAGGATTATAATGCTTAAAACGTGAGTGTCCCAGATGAACTGTAGATTCATCTGCAGTTTGTCATTACTGCAATGTGAGCATTTGAATGACTGTAGATTCTGTCAGCTCCCTGTATCCACCAAGCTATGTGGACATATGAACAAGCTTGTCCCTGACTTTAGAGTTACCCTGAAGGTATTAGACATTCAAAGTTAAAAAAAGAGCCAATGATAAATTATCCACCGGATATTCCTGTTGAGTAGAGGCTATCAGAATGTAAGACAACATTTACATTTAAAAAGTACAAATACCATGCATTTCCATTAAGAAAAGTAAAAACGGGTGTATCCAAATATCTGTATATACAGTATGGGTACAGAGTGAACTGAGACAGCAGGTTGCTTTAAATTTGTAAAAAACCTTCAAACCATTAATCAAAATTTTCACAAAAAAATGATGCCTCTTCCTCAGAAAGAAGCACAAAGATGGAAGATTGTCTGACCGAAAAGCACAAGAATGTTTCAATGTCATGTATCCACTGACTGTAACATAATCTTTGCATTCATAGTGTCTTTGCCCTGTTTCCGCTTCTATTACCCGAGTACCTTTGTTCTTCACTTTCTAATATTAAAGATATGTCAGAAATTTCCCAAAAGCGACTGATATAAAACTCGGATTCCTGGTTCAGGAGTCTTGTTTTTTTTTTTTGTTCGGCTAGACAGCAGTCATATTTGAAAGCACACAGTAAAAACCGGTTCTGTTTTCTTGATATTCAACAAACGTTTTCTAAATAAAGTTTCAACACGGAAAATACCCATTTAATTTTTAACTTAATGGGGAGATTGCTCTTCAGCATTTACATGTTCCCACTTGGTCAGCTTTTAAGATCACATGGCCTCAGCTTTCATTTTTACGCTGACGATACTCAAATATACACCCATACCAAACCTGACACTGACGTGGCTGTCTCTATTCTATCTAATTGCATCTCTGACATAAAAATTTGGATGACTCAAAACTTCCTTCATCTTAACTGTGACAAGAATGAAGTCATGCTTATTGGTACCCCCCATCAACTTCGTAAAGCCAGTCCTGTAACCCTGTCTGTAGATGGCTCTGTACTTGAGCTTCAATCAAAATTGAAAAACCTTGGGGTTATATTCGATTCTGGCTTAACATTCGACCCACATGTACAGCATACTGTCAAAACATCTTTTTTTCACCTTAGAAATATCGCAAGACTACGCCCTATGCTATCATTAACTGTGGCTGAAAAGCTGATCAACATATTTGTATTCTCTCGAATTGACTACTGCAATGCTCTGCTCCCTGGGGTATCTAAATCTACTCTGAACAAGCTGCAGTATGTCCAAAATTCAGCAGCCAGAATCCTGACCAGGTCTAGTACAAGTGTTCACATTACTCCTTTCCTGGAGTCCTTGCACTGGCTTCCGGTCAAATTCCTCATAGACTTTAAAATCCTCATGCTCACCTACAAGGCTTTACATGGCTTGGCACCTCAATACCTGTCTGAACTTTTATTGCCCTACTCCCCACCTCGCAACCTCCGCTATTCAAATTCTGCCCTCCTTACTGTCCCCCAAGCTCGTCTACATTGTATGGGCGAAAGGGCCTTCTCCTGTTCTGCCCCCAAGCTCTGGAACTCTTTGCCCAAGGATATTAGAGAGTCACCTTCTCTAAACTCCTTCAAATCCAGACTCAAAACCTTCTTCTTCAGAATAGCCTTTACTTAACTGGTTCCATTCTTCACCCCTCTGCTCTTCTTAATACCATCTTCCACGGTCTCCTCTATTGTTATTGTTGTATTGTTGTAATTATAATTGTGTCCTGTCTTGTGAAATTTTCTTATTTATTGTTGTAGTCTTCTTATTTATTGTTATTGTCATCCTGTAAAGCGCTTTGAGAAGCCACCTTTAAAGGCGCCATATAAAATAAAGTTTATTATTATTATTATTATTATAGATACAGTTAGAAACATACTGTATAATACTTAAAACCAAATTATGCTCTAATTTAGCAAATGTATTAAATGGTTTAACTATTGTTATATGGTTAAATATTGTTATTTGTCATACTGTACATGCTCTAGGTTTATTGAATCCTATCAAATGGTAGTTAGGTAGTTGTAGTGAACAGACTCATTTGAGATATACAGTACAGTGCCAATACCTATGTCTGCAGTGTATACCATAAAATGGCCTGCATTTTCATCCATTCTTCAGCTAAACATTCATGTGCTACCTTCCAGGATTTGGCATAACATAAATGTTATACATCTTACAAAAGATGGATGTTATAATGTCCTTCATACAATTTCTGAGAAGAAAGGACATAGTCTGATTCAATATGCAGTGTGCAAACTTTACAATACAACAAAACTGAAATCTCAAGAAGCTTTTTTGTTTTTGTCAGCAACAAAGTCGCACTGGACAGCAGAGTTTCAAAGTCAACTCATGTTTCAAAGTAAACTCATGTTGAGACAGGAAATAAATTATTAGTTACTGACACCCCTCACAGAGGAGCTGTGTTCCCTGGACGTACTGTATGACATCAGATAATGGAGGATTACAGAAATATCTGGGACAAGCAGCTGGAAAAAGAACACCAAACATTCAGCACGTGTGTGTATGTTGACGAAGCACCACACAACGGTACCCACACACACAGCTTGAGGCACTTTTCTGTTTGGGCGACTTGGTTTGATGGCCACACGTACGTTTGGAGGCTTAGGTGTTGCTAAGATACACATTTCAACAGCCAGGGTACAAGTCAGCTTAGCAAGTACAGAATATCTCAGGCCTCATTTATCAATTAAATGTACTGTTATTAAAAAGGCACCCTAGGAGAAACATTACCAAAATAGATGGGCTTGGCTTCTGGAAAATACAAGACAAACCTGGCAAATTCCAGTATAAATTAGATTCCTGATACTTTCGTAACACTACTGAAAGAATTAGTCTAAAGCAATATCAGTATTAATATTCAGATGTGGTGCATACATGTTTTAACTCTGATCAGTATATCATCTTATGTGGAGTCATCAAATTGACAATAAACCCCCAAATTATTTTGTATTATTATTATGGCAGACACAGTGCATTCCAGTCCAGTCATTTAGGTGGTCATTTTGGATCTCTAACTCTAAAAAAAGTCGATTCTGCATCATTCTGTATAGGGTTTCAATTAGTAGAGCAATAGTCAACACCTTATGTGGATGAACATTATTTTGCTTTTCAGCAAAAGCACAAGGACCAAGTGAATATATCAATATCGACACAAAAAATCAATTATCCCCTTTTAATTCTTTATTGCCTTCAGGTCATTTGAAACCTCTGAACACCCCGTTTCAATTTCAGAGCCACTAGCACACAGCCACACAACCACCTTTAACTCACCCGTTAGCCTGTCACAGCCTGTCACCAATTAGAACAGTCTTTAAAAGGTATGGAAAGCAAACTCCGGCAGAAGACGAGGTTAAACAAAAGGAAAGAAAAACATTGCTAAAAAAAATATGGGATGTCTTAGAAAAAAACCAAAACAAACTACTTTTGTGGTTATCTGATACAAGGTCATTCTCTGCTCGTTTATACTGTATGCTCAAAATGGAGCATTACACTGTAATATGTATTATTCTCACTTAAATTCTGCATAAAGAGTTAATTCAAACACAATACAGTTAAATGTCGGTACGGTTACATTATTACATTAATTTTCATTAGCCTAAAACAATCACATTAAAAACCGCCATGCACTCATGTTGTTTTTGCAGTCCTCTGGTCTGTACTATACAGGGAAATTTGTACCAAGACTGGTACTATGCAGTTTCAAACCTTTCTCACCATAATGAGAATGTGGATAATTGCTTTGTGCTTCATACCAGGGTATTCACATTCCTGGATTCAAGTTATCATGCTTACAGTTTTCTTTATTTCTTCAGCAAGTTACTTGACACTGGTTACCCAACCTATTCACCTGTATAAATGCATATCAACATTTCCAAAGGATGATCCACAAACTGGAGTGTCATAATCTGGTGCTGTAACATCCTTACCTTACTTAAAATGCATGAACTACTTTACTGAAATGGGAATATTCAATAACACAACATGATTAGAGAATTATTACAGTGGGGCACTACTTAAACTTGAGGCTCTTGATAGCACCATTATTCTCGGAAATGACTAAACCTGATTAATGTTACAAAAGTAACTACTCCTGAACCATTTTTGTTTCAGCAACTGATGCATTTAATTTTTCACTCACAGGTTTGGTTTTCCATTTAAAAAACATGCAAATTTCATCTCTACTCCAGCAATTATAATAATCTATGAACTGTTAGTACTGTAGCTGGTTATGCACAATTGTCTTCTCTGAGCAAAAATAATGTTTCCCGTAAACACAAACTAGGATATTGTGTTTTTCATCTTACACACCCAACAACTGAATGAATGGCACAGTTTTATAAACACAGTGTAAAATACAATCCACATTAAGACACTGTTGTACAGGCACAGTGGTACCATACACTAAAAGGAATAAATACAAATTAAATGTAAACCATTATGTTATGAAAACAGACCTTACTACAGTATTGTTCTTTACATAGTAGATTCTTCATTTCTTTCTTCATGAATGTACTGTTTGTATTGGGACATTTCTTAACTAAGTGTCTGACAGAATATTAATAAGAATTTATAAACAAGATTAAAATTACAAAAAATAAATTGCAAAGGAAGTGCTTAAGAAAACCCACAAGTTTCAGTTCTGTTTCATAGTTTACGTGAACGAGGTCTGTGAAAAACTTTAATTTAATTATAACCACTTCGAAAAGCTAAATATTTTATTCTGGTGGCAGAACAGTAAGTACTCCCTGGCTTAGACAAAGAAAGAAATGTAGGCAGTATTTAGACAATATTTAATACTTTCACAATTGTGTCCCCATTTGCAGATTATAACAAGATTTTAATTAAGAAATGTTTTACTAAAACAGACAAAGAACAAGACTGCATTCTAAAAAGAAACAGAACTGGTTTCGTTTGGCTGTAAACCAGAGCAGCACCCAGCAGTTTCAGGGGAACCACACACATACTGTAGTATTATAGCAGGAATGCAAGTCCTTCTCACTGGGGTCAGGAAGTGGAAATTAGCTGGGGGTGATTTCCTTCCATGGGCCACTGCCGTCACATGAGTTTGCTGGGGCAGTCATCAGGTATCCCAGTGTCTACCGCCTCTCTGTTGTTGTGGCCTGGCAGGTGGGAAAGCCCTGAATGACCATTCAGATTGCTCTGTATTTTCCACATCAGGCAGATGATAATGAAGCTACACCAACATTCTCAACAGCTTGGGTTTGGTGGCTTAGGAACTCAGCTGGACAGGGGGCTTTTCTGTTGCGTGGGGGGCAGACAGTGATTTTGTCCAATATCCTTGTAATCAAGTGAGCAATGCACAAATAAAACAAACTACGCACCCCTGTTTAGGAAGCACAGCAGCAGGGCAAAAAACTAAATTCATACAAATATGCATTTCTGTATTAGGACATAAATCCACTTACTTCCTTTGATCTCAGTTTTTATACATCCACAGGCTTAAATCATTTAACTCAGATCACTTTGCTGAGGGTATACATATGTTACAGTACACATCCTTATCCTTTCATATTTAAATTACTCACTTGTGCTATTTTTAAACACTGAAATGATGGAGGGGAAGAGGTTTAAAAAACTCTGTTGATGCTTTTCGTTTTCCTGTTTTTCAAGCCCAGTCATTTGTATCCACATATTTCAACTTTCAGTTGTGAAAAATGTGTCTTGATAATGAAAATAACAGAGGAAGAGGCCCATGTGTCCTCCGATCCTTCCCACTAGTTAGAAAAGGCATTGTTTTTTCTCACAGAATCAAAATGAGCACTACTCAATTCTGCTCAGTACAGAAAAAATACGCTTAAAAATACAGTTCCCACAAAGTAACCAGTGTATTCAATGTAAACTCTGATTAGTTCTGTACTGTAAATTTGAATGCTGACTTTCATTTTCAAATTTTCACGTGTTGTCTTCACATGTACAGTATATGAACTCTTTTCAAGTGGACATGTGATCTTTCATGAGTAAGAACAGTATTCTACTTGTGTACTGACCCCGTTTCAAGCTTAACAGATGACTACCAGGACATACTAGGGGAAAACTACTGATACTTTCAGATACATTGTTTTCTGTTCTCTTTCCATAGTTTAAATACAGGCTTTCCACATTTTCTAAAGGGGAAACTCTGGAATGTGAGAAAATAGATTAAGATCTTCTGCATTTTAATCCAGTTGGAGTGTCAACAACTGGTAAAATAAAAGGCCCCCACACAAGTTGCTGGGGGATAATGCCACATACCAAAGAAACGAAATCCCTGAAAAGCTGGGGAGCAGCTGAATGTGCCCCCAGGTGTGTTAATAGTCAATCACTCTTCTGCTCAGACCCTATGGGACAATGATGTTTCATCATGCTGTCAAATCTCCTTTGCCATTTCACAAATGAAGTTCCAGGCTAAAACTTGTTTTAAACTATTAACATAATATTGCTAGGCATGAATAAAAAGTATCATACAAGTGAGGCCCCTTTGCATCCCAGTTAACCATATTTGTATGAATTGTACATGGATATAAACTGCATATTTACTGGACTCAAGACACGCCTTGTTCTTTTTTGTTCCCACTTGTGTTTGAGGTACAGTACTCCAAAAAACAGGAGTATGGAAACCTTGTCCAAAGTCTTTTCTTTTTTAATGCCATTCATTGTTGCTTTTCTTGGTTTTCCAAAGTATAACATTTCTGTACTGAGCTCTTTTATTGCTCAGTAATTAGGCAGTATGCATGAATACCAGCTGCATTATTGTTTTTTTTTCTAAAAAACATTTTTCCTCATTGGCACTGAAAGCTCCTCCTGACAGCTAAAGGCTCAGATGATCTTGTCCAACACTCTTTCCAACATGACCTTTTATCTCCAAGACCCCACCAAGTATACAGTCATGAAGGCCACAATGGAGATCCTCAGGATGTACTGCTTCTCTTCCTGTTTCTGACAGCTCTTCTCCTGGTGGGCTCATCCTCCTGGTCGCTCTCACAGTCTCTCTGAAAGGAGATGGTAGTGAGTGCTCGGGCATCAGCTGGCAGGAGTTTCATCATTGCCAGCTCAGCTTCAACCTGCACTGGTCTTGTCTGCCCAGGCAGTGCAGACGTATAGAGAGAACCCTCTGCTCTGACAAACAATAGTCAGCCTGTTTCTGCAAAAGGTATATGTAATTTGTGTTCCATGCACAAACCTAACACATAAAGAGCATGCACAAAAAACAAAGAAACCATCTTAGTTTCAACATAAATGAGACCGTTCAATGACTTCTCATTCTTCCGTCGAAGCTATAAGAAGATAATTTGTTTCCGAGTATGAATAATGAAAATACTTCTGAATAGATCAGGAACAACTGAAATGGCACATTTCCAGAAATGGGTAGGTAGTACAGTACATACCAAATCATCCTGGGGCTTAGGACAAGCCTTCTTCATCATCCGAGTTAGGTGGTTACAGAGTGTGACAATCCTGAAGGAAAACTGAAAGAAAGAGAGAGAAAGCTCAGGATTTAACCACAATGTGGGCAGCACTGTTATCTAACTACAGTTTTGTGATGCTCTTACCTTCCATCTCCTTATCGCATACTGTTTCCTGAAGTTCTCAAGGTTAATAACAGATTGTCTTCGCACCAGTGCTTGCTTTGGGTTTAATGGCTAAAATACAACAAGGGCAACATTAGGTTTTGTTTTCAAAGACATCTAAAATCTAAATTAAAAATGACAGTAAACTCTTAATTTACTGCAATTGCAATCATCATATGTCCCTTGGTTGATTCCAAAATTCAAAACCCAAACCTCCACAAGAAAACCAATAAAAGAAAACCTACCGTTGAGAAACGCAACACTGTTGTGCACATAAGTGGACTAATAACAAATGTGCACAATAAAACGGAGAAACTTGCAATTGAACTGAAGAATTCAGCTCCTGTGGCTTCTAAAATTGGAACAAATCCCTCTACCTAGAGTGTATAAATTATCAGACATCATGCCAAATGGTGACAGTAGAGTGTTCAAATGCAATGGATGAGATTCCATGTCTTTAAATATTTTGTAGGAGTAACTGACAGGACTGGACCTGGCCTATCTTGATCTTACTCTTTCCATAGGAGCAGCAAAAAAGCCCAATCTACTCGCTTTTTTGTCTGTAGGTTATCTAAAGCGTTTCATGACTGGGGCAAATTACAGGTACATCATTTCCGGCGACCCAGTCAGGTTCTTAGACAATACACTTGACTTACAGTAGAAACACAGACACTCCTCAAAGGTAATTCTCTTCAAAAGAATTATTTTCTCAGCTACAAACCATCACAGACATACAAGCATTTTGTATCATATGGTTTCAGTATTTAATTAACACAACCTGAAGTTTGACAGAATTAGCTATGAGAGGGTGTACAGTGCGTAACCTCCTCATCTCACAGGGAAAGCTCGTACTTCTCCACACCCACAGTATAAACCCTGAAAGCAATCACAGCATGTGCACTTTGCCTTTAATCTGTTAAATGTGCTTATGTACTGGTCACATGTGCCTTGTGGCATGTTCACTTCTGCCATGGACAGGGTGTATGAAGAATGATGTTTACCTTATGGGTATGGAAGATAACACCAGTAACACCCACATCTTGAAAAAACAATTGTTAGGTACTCCAAAAACACTTCAAAAACCTGGTCAACGTGAATCAGCTGAAGTACACTTTATAAGGTTTTTAGGGTTAAGAGCTGTTGCTTTAGGTTTGTTTTACAAAACATAGATAAATAAGAAGTGATATGACCAAACAAATGATTTTGTTTAACAAGGAACAGATTTCACTGTTTGTTCCAGCAGCCAAACAATAGCAAATATTCAAATAAAACTAATAAACAGGCTGGAGAAAGCAGGCATAAGCATTGCAACACTAAAAAAATGGAAAACAATCCAGCAACTAATTAAGAAACAATTGAAACCTTTGCTACTCCTCCATTGTCATTCATTGTAAAAAACTGAAAAAATCCAATAAAGTCAGGAGATTTCTTTAAAGAACATTAACTGTTTCAGCAATAATGTATTTTGAAACCAGAAATAGGAGCAATTTCTTCATATACAATTCGTAAAGCTGATGGGTACTGTACTTCCCATTTACAATATTTAAACATTTAAATTCACAAATAGTACATTTATCTGGATACAAGTACTGCACACATTTTCTTTCTGCATCATCTATGCTGGCAAACAAAGGGGCAACAGCACATCTACTACTACTACTACTACTACTCTACTAATCTTTCTTTTCCAATAAAGATCATCACAAAGATCATCAGCAGTAGTTTAGCTACAAATGTCAAGTGTCCCTAAACAAAGGACTTTTTAAAAGCAAAACTGGAATAGAGAGAAAATAGCTAATACACTGGCATCGTAAATGTTGCAACTTCCCATGCACATCAAATGTTAAGGAATTACAGTAAGTGATTGGCTGACCTCTGTATTATTGTGATGGAAACATTATTGGAATGAACAAAAAAAATACCCTTTTATGAAAACTTTTTTGTACCTACTACCATCATTAAGTAACAATGCGGGTCACTTGATTTGCATGCATGAAACACTGGGGCTACGGCACCTACTGTATGTGCAGGCACACTGTCACTTTCAGGATTGTAGCACAACTTTTAATTTGAATGAGGGTGTGTTTAAAATACCCATAGCCCTCCCCAGGACCTGCACATTGAAAATGGATGGATAGATACATTCAAGGTAGCGATGATATTTTATTATGTTATTCAGATTAGGGAACAAAACTTTCAGTTTTAGAAGAAATGTATTCATGATTACTAAAAAGAAAAAAAAAGCTATTAAAAAGTATTAAAAAAGGAAAACACAAGCTGGACATTTTTAACGAAGGCCTGATGAAAAATTCTACATTGAATTTAATAGGTTATTGCATTAGTTCATCTTTTCATTGCTATAAAACTAATAATATTTTCTTCTGTGCTTACAGAATTCTGAAAATAAAAATAATTAGGGCTTAGTGGACTTCCTGAATTTGCCATATTAATCCTACTTTTATTTGTAAGACCTATTCTCTTCAGTGCGGTATTGACTCAATACATTAGATAGCTTGGCCTGTCTTATAGCACACTGCCAATTCACTTAGTATGTGCAAAACTGCTATAGTAAAACAGGATGCATCATATAATACTAAAGGGGACTACATCCTTTTTTTCAGTTTATCACTGATGACTTGACTCTGTAATGTCTAAATTTATTGTTGATAGCAAATCTCCAGTGCAAGAGCCGTTAATAAGTTCCTTCAAAGCCTCGTTCACATCGTTATTGAAGACAGAAGCGAAATCTCCATTCGAGTGTCCTCCATTGATGTTGCCCAGCTGGAAGGAGCCTGTCACGTCCTGGATCCACTTCAGCTCCGAGGAGAGCTCCCGACTGAGAGACTCAAAGTGAGACCTCCTCTCCATGTATCTCCCGCTGATGCAGGCCAGGCTGGAGTCCACCATCTTCATGTCATCCTGCAGGTGCTTCTTCAGGGATTCCACCTTGCGGAACTCGTAGCGGATCTGGGACAGTTCGTGCCTCACGCTCTCGTTTTCCTCCTTGTACCAGGACTCCTTCTCGTTGTAGATGGAGATCAGGGCGTCTATGTCCTCCTGCAGGGTGTCGTGCACTACGGCTATGCCACTGAAGCTGGTCTCCATGACTGATATGTCCTCCACTACCCTGGCGAAGCGCTCGAAGTTGGCATAGGTGTTGTTGGGAGGCATGCTGGAGTGGGACTTGATGGTGTACTCTTTCAGGCGCTTCGTCTTGAGCTGCCTGCGCTCAGGTTTCTTGGTTTCAGGAACTTTAGTTTCCTCCTTGTTCTCATGGGACTTCAGACAGAAGAATGCAGGATTACGTGAGTGAGATTTTTTGGATATATATATATTCACACGCAAACAGGCAAACACGGGTGCACAGCGCTGCTGGGGTTAGTCCAAACCACAGGCAGGAGATACAAAAAAAAATGCATTCGGCATTCTTGAGTCCCATCTGCATCCTCGGTTTTATCAGTCCATGCTGGTGTTTTTTAATATTAAGTTCAGAGTGAAAACAAAAGTCACAACACATGCTCCCTGTTTAAAAAATATGTACTGTACTAGTGTACGATTTCTAAATATCACAATATAGCTCATCCATCTCTTTTAGAACAATTGGGAAAATTCTGGTGTACCATGATACTGTCTAAATGAGAAACTCAAACTACAATGTGCATTTCACCTTGATGTAAAAATGTGTTAAAGCCACTCTACTGGCAATCATTTTCCAAACTCTTCATTTAATCCTTTACTTAAATCATGTAAGCATTTAATCTAAAAAGAAAATTGTACTTACAGTGGTGACCTGGACAGTACCCATTTCTAAAGTGGGACATTTAGTGCAACAATTCAAGTTCCTTATTCAAGGACACAAGAGCAGTGATCCAACACGGATTTCAACCCATTACGGGAGTACAGAGCCCTAATCACTACTCCAGATGTACTTATCAGCTTTACCTGTTTTTCAGTATTTTTATAGGTTTTTCCATTATGCTTTAAAACAAAGTTTCAAGTATCTATATAATAATAATAATAATAATAATAATAATAATAACAATAATAATAATAATACATTATGTTTTACAGTGAATTTAATTTTTTGTCATTTCATTGCTTTTTAGAATTGAATTTTTAGAACGGACAAATAACTTAATATATCTTAATACAAAACACCTTTTTTAGTATTGGTGAGGAATTTAACAAAACATGGATGTGTACTAACATGCTTTAGTTGGATACAATGTGATCCGTTGTGTTACAAAAATGAGAGGGTGTGGGGGACTTTAAATTAAGAGTTAAATGTTAAAAGAATCACAACAACGGATACCTTGATCCAAGGATGATTCAAAGTTTCTTGAATGGTCAGTCTTTTCCTGCAATTCAAACACATTGAAGAGTCTAAGAGAAATATCACTTAAAACAAGCCATATTTTACCTGCAGAACGAGCATTCCTGAAATGAAGGAAGCAATTCTTAGAAAGAATAATGAAAAATATTCAGATATTTTGTTTAGCTTTCCATTTAATAACAACTACCAAAACCTTAACCTCCTTTGGTACGGTATTTATTGCTTACCTAGTGTCTTTCTCTAGTAACTGCCTAATGAAACTTTTAGCCAGCTCACTGGTGCGACTGAAAAACTCTTCATCAAAATCATAGTTCATTGCTGAGATATTCGCCAAGGTCTCTTGTTTCGATTCACCAAGGAAAGGCGAAGCCCCGCTCAACCTAGAGAAGGAAAGGGGGACAGGAAGTAACATTAGCCGACGAGGAGACATTTTGTGAAAACTCTTGGCGATAATGTTGAAATTGTTCCACAAAAATGTTCCACAGTTTCCAAACTTACAGAATGTAGGTGATGACCCCAATACTCCTACAAAATAACAAAAACAATGCATTAATACAATGTTTCAATGAACATCTGGCTACTTTGTCAGCATAATAAGTTCCAGTCTCTCACCACAGTCAATAAAGAAAACTCTTTGGCTTACCACATATCTGCGGCTAGTCCCAAAGGCTCATAGTTGACTATCTCTGGAGCTGAAATAAATTGCATCCATCACAATCACAACACATTGCTTGGACAGAAAAGAGTCTGAAACAACATTCACATTTTGTTCTGTTTCCACTTAAAATACAACTTTGTGCTGACCTATCATTTCAATGAAAGAAAAAGCCTCTGAACCAACTGATTCAAAAATGCCAGCTAATTATAGACTCTGATATTCTGAAGAGCCCCCTGAGATAAAATTCTGCTTTTGGGATGCTAGCCAACATTAACCTTAACTGTTTTATTTTTTCACTATGTTATAAGGCTTGTAGGTGGCTGTGCTCTATCAAATTCATTGTGCTATGCAGCTACATTATTCAGAAATCTTACCAACAAATTCTGGAGTTCCGAAAATGTTTTTAAACTCCACTCCATCTTCAATTTTGTGAGCAAGGCCAAAGTCTATCAATTTGATTCGTGGTAAAGGAACGTTTTTGTCCAGCAGCATAATGTTTTCAGGCTACAAAAAGAACAACAGAAAAAAGGTTTTTCATCCCATGAAAATGCAGTAGACACATAACATTTATATCCAAAATATTTTCTCGGCCACTAGGTTATTATTTTAACCTCTTTCAGACATAAAATGTATTTAAAAAAGTACTAAGCTATCATGATTTCCCAGAAATCTCACAGAAACTTTGTTAAAATTTGTACAATATTGTAGTTGGGGAACAAGTAATAGGTTTATTCCAAGTTGAAAAGAGAAGAAAGAAAACACAACGTTTTGGCTGTGGAGCCTTCTTTGGGTGCCAAAGAAGGCTACACAGCTGAAACGGAAATTGTTTTATATTACAACTGAATATTGCAGTTTGCAATCTAGTTCTCCAAAACCAAACATCCATCCATTTTCTAACAACTTCATCCAAAACTAGGTTGTGGGGGAGCTGGAGACTATCCCAGCAAGCAACGGGCACAAGGCAAGACAAACGTCCATTGCAGGGCACAACTAATACATACTGTATACTCACACCAGGGCCAGATTTCCAAATTAATCTTTCGGTATGTTTTCAGCTTTCCAAACCCATTTCTTTTTAAATATATTGTCAGGGTTTACAGAAATAAAATAAAAAGCATGCCTTGGAAGGAGATGTTTTTATGCTCGCCATTTTATTTTAGCTTATTTCAAACATTATACATATACAGTACAAAAGTAATTGTCGCAATTCTTGGATTTAAACTAAACCATGTGCAAAATGTTGGAGGTGAGTGCATGTAGATGAGTATACCTACATTTCAGTGGACACTAATGTGGAAAATTCTGTAGCTGGCAACAGTGAAAATGTATCTTCAGAAAATCTGTAACAATGTTTTTAAAGAAATATATGCAAAGGGATGACTCTACAATACCAGCAGCACAAATAATAAACCCTCTACAAAACTTAACACAATATGCAATATGAAAGATTCCGGAAGATAAACACACAATTTAAAAGAATTCTGAAGTACCACATACGGTATGTTTAGCTTAAGGAAAAAGATCTTTCTTCTAATAAAAACGGAACATCATTGTGTTTGCTATATTATCCTCAAAAGTACTTGTTCATACTGCACAAATTTAAACAAGTAGGCAATTCAGGGTCTATTAAATGAAAGGTATGCAATTCATGGTTATTTTGAACTGGACTTTTGATATCTTGTTACTTTCTGTTCTTGGCAACTTAAGAGCTTACACTCACACACAAAGAGACTCTGTTTGAGATACAGCATAAATACTATCTCTGTGGAGCGTCTGAAGCCTTCAAATTGAGGAAACAGTAGTTTAAGCAGTCTGTTTTGGCTTGCCGTTTGCCCACAAGAAGCACAAAATTTACTTGGGCTCATACGAGAGACCAACAAGAGATTGAATGTGAGAAATAAAGTTTCATCAGAAAAATTAACCATGATTTTGAAATATATTTTCAGTATCTAACTGTGCTATGTTGGACTTCTAACACTAAACAGATTTTGAGATTGCATGTTTACACATACAGGTTGCCACAGAGAGCAACACTTCTTCTCATCTCAAGAACACCGCGACTCTAATTTTCCACAAACTTAAATACGAGGAAACCATAAAGGCATGTAGAGGAAGTTCTCTAAGATTAACATCACGCTTATACAGTAAATAAGATTCTTCAGTTCTCTCAGGAAAGTGCAAGCAGTGCTGTGTTCAGGTATCTACTGAAATACATGCTTTTTGCTATGTAAGGCATAACCAGAGAGTATGAAAAGATACTAATGCAGTTCCTGCTCCAGGAACAGCAGGGTAAGGAGACCCTGTCTGTATTCCTTCATTAAATAACTACTTCTTGTCTTCACGTCTAGATTTGTCAGTTTAGATTCACTGTGGCATAGCCACTTGTAGAAACACACTAAATGCTGTTTTGCAATGCCTCCTTAAAAAAAAAACAGAAGAAGTGGTTTTAAAATGTTCCTCCTCTTGTTAAACTTCAAAATTTGCAGCTTCATGTAGTGTATGCAAAAAGAGAAAGGTATAAGGTACACTCCAGTCTTTACTATCACATAGATCTTTGAAAGCCTAAAATGTTTCAGATAATTTAAACATTGTTTTCAGTATTTCAATGGTTTGAACACCAGGCACAGGAAGCTGAAAAAAAGAAAGGCGACATTTAATGTTGATTTGTGCTACTGTGGCATTTATTTGCAGATATCTTTGTAATTATGAATTGTTGTATTTATTGCATTCATACTTTGCAAACCAGTCACATTCAATGAAACTAATGGAATTGAATTTAATCCATCTAAATATCACACCTTATAACGTAGCATTCTGCATTGAGCCTGTTTCACAATATATCATTTCTGGTGGAGTAAAACCATTACATTGCCGCTGTAAAACAGTATCTGCCCACATACAGTATACAGTGGGCATATACTGTTTTAGAGTGTTTAGAAAAAACATTTCCCTTGAATCTATAACCTTTGCTCATCAGCAGTTATTTGGTCTGTATGAACTGTGTGTCTCTGCAGAATGACAGCTATCACAGAGCATGCCTTTCCAATCAAAACTTAACTGTTCCATCATCTGATTCTTATTTCTTATGACTGGATTTATAGTTTGTCATAGTTTATTGCACTTAGCTTATTCCTGACAAAAACCCACTTTAATACTTCATAGTAATCAGGGTGACTAATCTATTCATGAACACACTTCACAATGCTTTATGAGTTGTTATTCCCCTTTTGTATGATTTTAACTTCCAACACTAGCTCACACTAAAACATTAACCCCTTATGAGAAAATTATCCTGTGCTTGGTAAAAAAAAACTGAAAAATACTTCTCTGAAGTATTTCATTTCAGTACTAGCTGACATGTATCAAGGAATTTCCACAGCCATTTTTGTGCGCATTTTCTCATAAAATATTTCCATGTGAGGCACATCTAATTTTTACATATCTTTCTTTCAAATGTACAAGATTCACCTTTAAACTGAAACGAGGCTACATACATTCCCAATATTAGAAGTCCAGTGTTTGTTCCAACAGCTATTACACTGGGTGACATTCTAAAGTGTCATTTGCTACAGGACTTTGCAGAAAATAATTCTTCAATTATTTCCAATATTATGTCTATTTCCAATCTCATAAAATACAACACCCTCATGAGATGTACCGGCATTTCACCACACATTCAAAACCTCATTGAATTCTCTCAGCTTCTTGGTTTATTTTCTGAACATTAGGCTTTATATTTTCTTGAGCGAAACACAAAATATATTTTTATGCATTGTCATGAAGTGCAGTACATACCGAAAAAAAATATTAAATTATTGCTGTCATTGGCAATCTACTTCTGTGCACTTCTTAATTAAAAATAAAATTGCCATTGAGGCTTTAGTCTTAACCAAAGTAGCTGGGACACCATTTCAAAGCCCAGCTCAATTAAAGAACTGAACTGAATGCAGTGATGCAATCTGCCCCTGGCCTTCCTCTCATAGCACACAGGAAGGGAAACAGTGTACTGCTGAGTTAGGCAGCTCAGAGCTGTGCACTGTGAGCACACACAGTGTAAATAGTATCTCGGGCAGGGCTCACTCCAGCCAGACACTCAATCTCCCTGCTATCTGTAGGCGTGGACATTACTTGGGCCAAAGCCTCCATCTCTCACTTCCTTTGGATAGGTAACTCCTTGAAAGCAAATCTCCAAAGCGCCTGGCCTCTGAACTAGGAACTTGCTAATACATTCTGTTCCTGACCCTAGTGCGGCTGTGAAAATGAGACTTCCCAAAATCGAACAACACTTTCCATCTGCCTCCCCCCTAGAGGCAATGCGACCACAGCAGCCGGCCGGGGCCAGTCTGTCAGCGCTGGAGTCAGAGGCTCTTAAACTGCACCGAGCCGCCAGCGTTTTCACTCACACAGCACGTCTGAAATCATCAGAGCAACCCCTGCATCTCTTTACTTCAGCATGTTTAGCTGTTTTTGCCATCTTTTACTCTTGTTTTAGCCAATTAAGACCAAGTGAAGAGCTTGGAGTTCTCACGCAAAATGGCAAGGATACCATAACGTTTAAAATGTAACATTTTAGTACCCGAAGAAGGCTCCACAGCTGAAACGCTGTGTTTCCTTCCTTCTCTTTTCAGCATGGAATAAACCTTTAACATGTTCCTTTGCAGCCTATGCATGCTGATGCAGCGACCTACTTGAACTAAAATCTAACACGATTCGAATGCAAGTATGGAAGAAGTTGTGACACAACTAGCCTGAACAGGACATGTACTTCGACCACGACATTAATATCACCACAACAGCGCTGTCTGCTTCTCTTCTACTTCCTGAAAAGGCATTAACTTCTGCAATGTCTGAAAGCCACTGCCTTTTTCAGAAACGTAACCTGTTTCTCACAAATACTGCTGAAACTATTTGCAGTACGATGCTAAATGAAGAATTATTAAGTTTGAAATAAATGCATTAAATAAACCTGTATTGTTCTTATTAAATGATTAATTTTATAGTAAGTTGAGATATCAGGCTTTAGTATTTGAATCATGAGCCCTGTATGCAATCTGCTCTCTCAAAGCAGGTAGGTAGAACCAGGCTCTGCTTCAATACCTATCTGGTGCCTATCATGACACCTTACCTTACTGATAAGCTGCTTCATAATCTATATAACATTGAAAGAAAAACCCAAAAAAATAATGTAGAAAGAAATGAAAAAATAGAAACGTATACAACCAACCTTAAGATCAAAGTGTGCGATTTTTCTGGTGTGGAGATAGTGGACTCCATCAAGAATCTGTTTTATAAACTGTGTTGCCTCTTCTTCACTTAGAGACTCCTTCTGTGCCAGAAAGTCAAACAGCTCTCCTCCAGATACCCTAGAAACACAGACTGACAGTGTTACTATTAAGGCAAATTCTCTTTTTATACACAATGTGTGAAGATACTACAGGTCTAGTGTTTTGACAATGGTATTAATTTCCCGTTTTCTCTTAGCAGCCTCATATTCAGAAGACAATTAATTAAGAATTTCTTCTGTGGAAAAACGTCTACTGCACAAGTGGAGTAGACAACTTAATCCTTCTGAAATTTTAAAAGGTTTAGTTGTCACGTGGGAGCATGAGGTTTTAAATTCAATGTATTTCCACCTGCTTCCAGATGTTATTGTACAGCGAAGGTAAGTCCTCTCACCACTGAAAAGACTAATTTGACTAATAAAACAAGCAACATTTCAAGGGTGATTGATGGACCTTATCTGAACAACAGAAAGCTCTGTTCTTAAGTTACTGTACGTTTGTTTAGATACTTGGAAAATTATTTCATACTGTCCACTTGTGTCTGCAGAAAGCAACAATCCTGAGAAACAGGGTAATTTACTAAACACCCTGATTAGATAGGCCCCATAATTAGTACATAATTGGATCTCTGTGCACGTCTGCACATACCGTAACAGCTTGAAACAACAGTGAGAGAGGGCCTCAGTCCTCTCACACAGTTCAGGCAAAGCACAAACAATGTGTGGGAAGTGCTATTCACTGCAGACCAATTATAATATTTGAAAAATTAACAGCATGAATTCCCTGTTGATGGAAACACTAGGCTTTTATATCAATATCTGGACAAAACGATGCCCCACTGAGCAATTAAACAGAAAATTACAACCTTCCTTATATCAGACAGAGCAGCATTCATCTTATCAATTTTCCTGAGAAACATCACACAATCATTTAAAGGGTTTTGTTTGTTTATCTCACACTTCCAATGCAAACACACATTCAAATAAGCAATACTTCAATACATAAAGACCAATTGTTATTGTTGTTTCTTCTAATTCAATTTCTCTTTTTATTCTATTTAGCTATGCTTTTGCGTGTATACTGTAATATAGACACACATAGAAGGAATGTTTATGAAGTAATGTCACACAACTTGACAGAATATTTTGACCCAGAAAAAGAACACATAAATATTTGGCAGACCCTAGCATACCTATATAATGTATATATTTCCCTTAAATACTGTACTCTTAAGTTTTTGTTCCCTTCTAAAGTATTTAAAAGCAATGTTTTAGAATAAGAAAAGGAGATCCATGAGGAATACTGTGTAATTGATGTGTTACAAAAGTGTATCTTAAAATCTCATTACAGTTTATCTCAAAGAGAGCAGTGGTTAGTAATGGTGACACAAGCTCTGCATTGTTTTAAAAATGAACCAAGAGACAGAGAGCTGTAACATTCTTTGAAACCTTCTCCTGAAAGAACACCCATAGTCAACAGTCACACAGGTCAACTTCCTTTCTATAAAAATAAGAATGAACAAATGTTTTGTCTTATAAAATAGTTCAGAGTTCCTCTCTATTTTGTACATTGACATTTTTTATGTTCTAATTAAAGTTGAAAGTAGTAACAAAATGAAATATTGTCTAGCATCAGACATCATATGACTAGAGTAAAGTCAAGTCACACATGTTGTGCTGTGATTTCTTCAGACAAGAAAACTCAGCCTTAACAGCTAAAAACAAGTAAGGAAACGTCATAAAGTTTCCAGCTCAAGTACACGATGTATGCAATCTGTCAGTCTAAAAAATACAAGGTTTATTGTTAATACTTGACATATTTAGACTAGCACATAAAATCTTGTCTTGAAAATGTGAAATCTTTGGAAAGATCTGTAAATTACCTCATATCATTTAGGATACAACTACTGTATGTTTCTGTTGTCTTAAGTGAGGGATGTCTTCATCTACTGTATAAATATATACGATCCATATGATCTGCCGTAGAACAGATTTCTGATATCTTGTAGAAGTACTGACTGTTCTGGCACATATAAGGTCTGGTAAAGTAAAAGGTCACACCAGGACACAGTGATCTATCAAGGCCAGAGCTCATCCTAGTCACCAGAGCATGGTGAGTATGCAACTCCCTTCTCTCACAGGGATTACCCCAGCAATGCTGGTCCCCACTTACACTACTGGGTGGACTGGACCCAACCTAATCTCACCCAAGGTACAACAGCAGTGTTTGCTCATGAACCCACAACCTGTCAGTTATGAAACCAGAGACTTATCCACTATTCTATTCTAGACCTTGGCAGCCATATACAAAACGTAAAAATATTTTGGACTCATGTAACAGCATAAAACAGTGGAAACAAAACTATATTTAAGACTGCAGTCTTTTAAGACTGCATGTATCATCCTGCTCTGCCAGAAAAACAGGTGCTGGCAGAGGAATAGGCCAGTGGGATGCGATAATAAATCATGTGATTCACAATATGCTGAGCTTGCACACATCTGTAGGTCAATAAATAGGCAATTACATTTTCTTCAGGCATCCGAGTTTGCTTAAATTCGAAGCTACCTTTTCACTAGAAGTATATCAGGAAAACAAGATAAAGGAAATGCTTATTTGTATCGTGGCATCACGATAGTTGTCATCGATCAGTCTGACCTTGACGTGCCCATGACTGGTCAGAGTGAGCTATTACATCTGGCCAGGATTCAGCAGAGTAACACATCTTTGGAATCACTTCCAGATTGCACAAAAGTGTGCACATTAATTCCAATACTGCACTAAGACCTTAATTGTGGTTTCCTTGTTGCATCAGCATAGGACTTTCACCACTCAAGAATCTCCACCTCACAGTTCAGTAGGACAAGGGCTGTTCTCAGAAGTGCAGACATTGATTTTCCAGACTCCTGGCCTGCCATATCCTCCGATTTAAATCCCAGTCGAGTATCAGTGGTTGACAGGTCTGTGCTCTTCGAAGGAAACTGCAAACCCTAGCAGAGTCTGGCTGGGACTAAACAGAGCATAACACCGTTGTAAATTACGATCTCTTAAGTCCATGCGGCATCAGTGCAATGTTTTCCTTGCAAAAGAAGGCTGTACATAGATACTATTGTATCTATGATTTATTTCCATGGCTTTGTCTAGGCTTAAGGTGCTCGGGGATTAAGGGGCGAGCTTTAAATTTAAATGGAAGCTGAATACAGTGTGCATGTAAATGACTGAGATGTGTTAGGTATATAGTATTATGGATTACTACAAAAATAAACCCTCAGAATACAGTGCATGCGTAGAGTGTTTCTTTGGCTGAGGAATATATACAGAGGAATGTGTCTTTGAAAAAAGCTTTCCTGATTTGGCTGATTCCCAGAAACAATACTGCTGTAACAATAATCTTCTAAAAATGTGCCAAGGAAGGAGTTTCAATTTCAAGATGGTGTTGTTGCAATCAAGCCTTTCCTGTCCTTGTGCCTTTTGTTCTGTAACCCCCCCCCCACACACACACACACAACACCACCTCTCCAGGATGACGGACAGGAAATCCTCCTGCTACTCACAGCTCCAGGATGAGCACCACGTCGGTGCGGTTCTCGAACACGTCGTGCAGGGTCACGATGTTGGGGTGCTGGAGGTGCTGGAGGATGCCGACCTCCCGCTCGATCTCCTCGCGCCTCACCCCGCGCCGGCTGGCCCGGCTCTGCCGCTTCTTGATGAACTTGGCCGCGTACTCCTGCCCCGTGCTCTTCTCCCTGCAGCGCCTCACGATGGCGAACTGGCCGCTGGTGGGGGGACAGAACCGCCGCACACAGGTGAGCGCCTGGCCTCGCTCTCCTCGCTGGCCGGCCGCCAGCCCCACGGCCCAGCCTCGACAGCGCCTTTAACAACACTGGGCTTTCACCAAGGAGAGGGCGACTCCAGGCCTGGCCACTGACAACGAACAACCGAGCGAACCGGTGAATTCACCCGGCGACCGAATCATGTTCCAGAAACACCCTAACAGAAGCACAACACTTGCCGTACAGGCAAAAAAACAGCAACATTTTGGCATCTGACACCAGATCACAAACGAATAACAAAGTGAGGCAAAGGATAATATTGTAGAGTTAACCAGAGCAGTCTACAGGCACTGGGACAGATTGAGTTTCACTATATTATTAGGTTCTTTGTATTACTGGTATATGGGTTTCACCACTAGAAAGTCAGTAAGTTTGATAACAACAGTGCCCTGCCTTCGGGAAACAGTGAATGAAGTACTTTTGTGTTCAATTATATATCACCAGAGAGCAAAGTCAATACAATTAACTTCTTACATTTCAATACGACTCTATTTTCTTCAGATTATTATTATTATTATAATGCTAGGTCCTCTCCACAAAGCTTTACTTGCTTAAGTTTGTCATTTCATAATTCAAAAAAGCTTAAAACCTATTTTTTGCCATTCACTTTCTAGACGAAGACATGAAAGACACATACTATACATGACTCAAACTGATAGATGTAGCATTTGGTGTTTACAGGGTCACATCCATGTTCCCCATGGACTGCAGTGCAGGAATACCAGCTTTGAATTTGCCGACTCAATCAATTATATCAAGTGGCTGGTTCTCAACGGGGCAATGGGAAACAGTTCGAAAAGGTCAGAAACATTTCGCATTGATTCCAGAGCATCACAGAGGGTTACACCCACACAGGAAGCTAAGGGCAGCACATGAAGCTCTTGAGAATTGACTGACATCACAGGTGAGCTGCTGTGTGGGAAACAGACACATGCCCAGTACTGACCTTCACAGAATTTCTTGTTAATTCACTGACTCAGGATGCAAGTCGTTAAAAGTGAACTAATTAGCCTTTCTGGCAAGGTGACCTGAACCAAAAGGAAATTTATATATAAATAAATTGTAGTGCTGGTTTTATATGTACCAGCACTACAAAACCATTAAAGGAAAGGTGTTACATACAGCAAGGGACTTAAACATCGAGCCAAATTCAACCAAATGAATAACAATCTAATTGAGCCTGAATTGTGCAATGAAGTAACTACCCTGAAATGAAAGCATTCATTTTACAATTTATAATAGTGATTTATTATTATTTGTTGTCTACACAATGTTTGCTGTATATTATTATTATTGCCTTCTGGTCTGTGACTTTTGGGCTGAGTGCAGACACGAACATGGCGAAGTCACTGTGATAGCATAATCAAAGAAACAAAGTAAAAAGAAATACAAAATACAAGTTTATGGCTTTTTTAACTTCTTTACATTTTGTACATCTGTAGAAAGAGATTTAAGCTGCCATTACTGTAAGTCTTCATTTCTGGAGAAACCTGAAGCGACTTACAGTATCATATCGTGACTGTGTTCTGCTAAATGACAAGCTGGCCAATCCCTCTGGTCAGAGACAGGGAAAGTGAATGCTCTGGAATGCTTTAGCATGTATCCCAAAGGAAATGCATTAACCCAACAGATGCTTGATACAGCCCCTCGTAATCGACAAGGCTGACAAAGATCTAAAAGTGTGAGGCTACCTCATCATGTTCATTTAGTGCTTTCAACACTGTGGTGAGTTGAACAGACCTTCTATCATATCATTGTTCCACAAGATTAGTCGCTGAGCAGAATGTACAAAGAAATGGAAATAGAAGAGTAAAAGTTGCCTTAGGGAGGTTCCTGCGGAATACTTAAGACCTTAATTGTAGAGTCCAGACCGAGAATGAGGTAACAAAATCCCCATGTGTGCAACATCTGAGCGAGAAGAATCTATATACCCTCAAAAGGGCAAGATTCAAGTGCATTGCAACAGTCTGATTAAACATCATCTTTGAAATTCTTTCACGTTTACTCTAATATTTTTACTGTTCTAACTGAACTGAATGGGCAGTTATACAGTACCTCTTTTCACACTGTCCCCACAGAAAATGTAGGAATGGTGTAGGAAGTGTACACAATGCATGACCGCTATCTTAATGTTTCCATCTAAAAAGAAGACAATATTCTTTTGTTAAAATTCTCACCAAGCTGGAAAACATTTTCTAGGCAGTGGCAGATGTAAGCTTTTAAGTAGAAAGGTCTTATAAATCTCATGCTGGTTTGGTTTATCTTAGCTGATCACTAGCTTTAGAGACAGAAAATGGTGAAAATTAATGCTACCTTCCTACATTAAGAAGTCCTAGAAAGCTGTCTTAATTACTCACAGTAGTTCAGGTGGGTAGCTGCGTCAGCATGCGTAGGCTGCAAAGGAACAAGTAATAGGTTTATTCCA